CATACCAGGATCACCCTAGGAAACCGAGGGCCCCGCTCATCCGTCAGGGTCGTACTGGTCACACTGCAGACCCGCTCCACTGCTACAATAATCTCCGGCGAGGCTAAGTAGCCTAATAATTATTAATAATAATTATTATTTTGAGCTTAATAATTATTATTTGAGGCTTCGCATTTATTTTTTGGGCTACCGCTTTGGTCCTTTATTGGTTTTCATAAATTTATTCCTTCTCTCTGAAATTTCGGTTTTTCCGGACCTTTGTGGCATTTGCTCTTTTGCCTTTTGGACAGCTCAGTGACTAAGGCATTTTGACAGCTCGTTTTGGACCGCTCACTGCATTTTGTTTTTTTTTTTGGATATTTTTGGGCTGCACGTTTTGTTTGGCCTACGCTCTTTTGATTGTCCAAACTTTTATTTTTTTTCGAATTCTCAACAAATTCTCGCGCCTGCTCACCGGAACCGCTCATTACTGCCGCTGACAAAATACTTTTTTTGAACCGCTCACACGCACAGCTTCTCAACCTATCGCTTTTGCCTTTGTGTTTGCTTCGCACATTTCACCGCTCAGCCTTGTGGTCGTTTTTTATTAGTTTTTTGAGAATTATCGAACTGCTCATTTCATTCTCAATATGGCATCATTCGAAGCGACCATTAGCCTGAACCAATCGCGGGCAGCGTTCATTGAACGCATTTCAAGGGAACTGCTCACCGAAGAGGCGAAAGGCCTCACGATTTCGGATCTCCAGGGTCAACTCGAGATCCTGGAGACTTACTGGGAGAAGTTCGAGAGCACACACGAGAAGCTCATCGGGGGCAGTGGCAAGATCGAACGGGTCCTTGAACTGGCGTACTTCAAGGACAAATGCTTCGATCTTACCATCGGTCGCTATCATGAGGCACGCGGAATTCTGAATCAGCTCATTGACAAAAAGGGGACATCTGGCTCTTCTCGTCAGTCTATCGCGCCTGGTACAGCTCAGCCCACCTACTCGAAGCGCTATCTCCCGGAGATTTCGCTACCTAAATTCGGAGGGGCTTACGCGGATTGGCGCTCTTTTCGCGATCTTTTTGCATCCTTGGTCGGCTCAAGCACGGATCTCTTCAACGTGGAGAAGATGCATTACCTCCGCACAAGTCTCTCCGGAGAGCCAGCTCAGCGGATCGCGAACCTGACGATCTCAGATGAGTCGTTTTCAATCGCTTGGGACCTGCTCTTATCTCGCTATGAGAATGCGCGACTGCTCATTTCAGCTCATCTAGAGCGACTCCTCAGTCCCCCAGCTATGACAGCTCACAGCGCCAAGGAACTGAATGCCCTTCTCACCACCGTCAGCGAAGCTCTGAATGCTTTGGAAGCTCTGGGATCTCCGACAGCTCAGTGGGATCAGGTCATCGTTCATACGGACTCACAAAGGCTCAGCTCAAAGCTTCGTGAGGCCTGGGAGGTTAAGGTCGGCTCATCCTCGGA